TTATATTATATTATATTATATTATAATATTATATTATATTATATATACACAGTATATGCACATACAAATATGCATGTGTTTCTTTTGAAACTTAATCTCTTTTCATGTTTATTGTTGGATATTTCTTGGGTATCTCGTTCTTTCTTTGAGAAATGGCGGAGCCAATTTGCGGAGCACCTTGTCAGGTTTCGACCCATTGGGCTCCACAGCTGTGAGGGGGACAGCCTATTATACATATGAACCATAGCAGTTTTGCTTACACATACATACATATATATATAGTATGTAATGTAATGTAATGTAATGTAATGTAATTATATTATATTATATTATATTGTATTATGTAATGTTATGTGTGTATGTATATGTGTATATATACATATATATGTACATATTTCTGAAGGGATCTAGCGCGTCGTGCAAGCTCCTTTTCGGAACATGGTGGCGAAAAAAGGAAAACGTGCCATTCTGACGAACCCATTTTTTTTGGATCTGTTAGCACTCCAAATCTACCAGCATTTTTCAAGAAATCCTTTTGTGAAGCATTTTTCCTCCCAGGCACATTCGATGCAGGAGGTTTTGGATGAGTTCCCAGAAGAGAGGGTGAGACTACGCGAGCCCCGGTGGAGAAACGGTAGCACAGGTTTGAAATCCATTGAATCCCTTGAAATTTGAGTTGTGAAGTGGTGAATTAGTAGGTCTTCAGTTTGAAGTTTGTCCCATAGAATAATCCAATCATTTCCCCACCATTTTTCCTAGGTTTTTCGCCCAAAACGACCCGGACCACGTTAGGAGATCATGGAGAAGAGGGCCGTGAAGACCACGGAAGTGAAAGCCTCCAAGTTCTTGGCGACGAAGTCGAAGCCGCCTGGTGGGGTTAGGTGCCCCCTGGGGCTAGAAATGGGAAGCATAGGAATTCCGGGAGTATTGCACACATTTATTTATTTATTATATATATATATTATATACACACGTTACATATATATATATATATTATATTATATTATATTATACATATACATATACATACACATACACATATACATATACATACACATACACATACACATACAGATACACATACAGATACACGTTACACACACATATATATATATATGAGTATGTACATATACATATACATATACATATACATACATATACATACATATACATACACATACATATACATACATATACATACATATACATACATATACATACATATACATACATATACATACATATACATACATATACATACATACGTACATACATACGTACATACATACGTACATACATACGTACATACATACGTACATACATACGTACATACATACGTACATACATACACATACATACACATACATACACTTACATACACTTACATACACTTACATACACTTACATACACTTACATACACTTACATACACTTACATACACTTACATACACTTACATACACTTACATACACTTACATACACTTACATACACTTACATACACTTACATACTTACATACACTTACATACACTTACATACACTTACATACACTTACATACACTTACATACACTTACATACACTTACATACACTTACATACACTTACATACACTTACATACACTTACATACATACATACATACACATACATACATACATACATATACATACATATACATACATATACATACATATACATACATATACATACATATACATACATATACATACCTATACATACATATACATACATATACATACATATACATACATATACATGCATATACATACATATACATACATATACATACATATACATACATATACATACATATACATACATATACATACATATACATATACATACATATACATATACATACATACATACATGCATGCATGCATACATACGTACATACATACATACATACATACACATACACACGCATACATACACATACATACACATACATACACAGACAGACAGACAGACAGACATACATACATACATACCCATACATACCCATACATACCAATACATACCAATACATACCAATACATACCAATACATACCAATACATACCATTACATACCATTACATACCATTACATACCATTACATACCATTACATACCATTACATACCATTACATACCATTACATACCATTACATACCATTACATACCATTACATACCATTACCATTACATACCATTACATACCATTACATACCAGTACATACCAGTACATACCATTACATACCATTACATACCATTACATACCATTACATACCATTACATACCATTACATACCATTACATACCATTACATACCATTACATACCACTACATACCATTACATACCATTACATACCATTACATACCATAACATTACATTACATTACATACATTACATACATTACATACAGTACATACATTACATGCATTACATGCATTACATGCACACGTGCATACATGCACACGTGCATACATGCGTTCATACATGCGTTCATACATGCGTTCATACATGCGTTCATACATGCGTTACATATATATTATACATGTTATACATATGTATGTATACATATAATCAGTGACCATTTATAGTCACGGTAGATATGTATATAACATATATAGTTATGGGTGAACGTTCTATGGTTGCCAAGGCACAGACGATTAGGGGTATGATCCTCCCTGTTTGGCCATGGATGATGGATTGCTTTTGATGCCGAAAAGCTTTGGATAAACCAATTCTGGGAGATGGATGTGGACAAGACCAAACACCAATCTTGTGGGTCCGCCCATACCCCATGTTTTACGCATTGCCATGTAGTTACAGCCCCATTCACCACTTGATTTTCTATGCGAAAAAAAAAAGATAGCTGACCCAGTTCTGTTCGGAGCAGGTTGCAAAAAGAGGAGTTTTCTTTGTGTTTTCACCTATTGAAGTTTGGGATTCATTGATTCATACGATCCCTAGAGAAGTTTTTTTCACATTTTAACCTACCAATCTACCCATCCCATGGCACGTGGCACAGCCGTTAAAACCCCATCCCGACCTCGGCGGACGAGTGTCGTGGCAGTGGTCCCATTGGTCCATGAGGTCGGTGAATAAGTTCCTGAAAGTGGTCACTGCCAGACGGATTTCCCAGGCCTCAGAGGCCGATTGCCAAAATGCAGCAATTTTGACAAAATGGTGGTTCTTTTACAAAAAATATTTTAAACTTATCATAACTGATTATGAATTATGAATTTGGGCTATTCATGATGAATTTCTATTCCGCTGTCCTTTCTGTAAAATTCTCATCGCTGACTCGTCCAGGAGTTAGCGGTTCCGAAAGTGGACTTTGAGGCAATCCAAGAGAAAGCGAAGAGGCTCGTTGCTCCGCAGAACCTACACTGTTCAGTGGGTGTGAGTCAAATTTTGGACCCAGGGACCACACAATACCCCCCCAAAAAAAACCATGATTTCGTGGTGAATCTATGGATTTTATGGATTTGGGAGCTATTTCTTCGCTGTCTTTGGTGACTTCAATTTGACTCATGCCGGCGTTTCTCAAATTGGGGGTACACTTGAACACACACACACACAGAGATATTTTGTTTTTTTTTCTGGGTTCCCCCATTTTAAGACCCCCCTGATTGAACATCTGGAAATCCGTCGCTGTGGCTCATCATCCCACTTTCGGCCTTGAATGTTTGACCCAAGCCATTCATAAGGCCATGAGTCAAAGCAATTTCTATCCCCCAACGGAATAGAATTATACGGAAATACATGGAAGCATGGTGAAGCATGGCATATGGAAACGGCACCAAGTTTCTATGATTTTTGGGTCACAGTTTCACATCTCTAAATCTCTCTTTCTGAAGTGAATATCATAGCGATTTTTCCTACTTGAAAACAGTTCCAATTCGAGTTTGACACATTTCACCATAATTATAGGCCCTCCCAAGTGATGGGGGTTACAATCCCATGTCTCTTTCAAGAACTCCAGAAATCGAGTCACCGCATTGCTGGAAAATCTCGATCGGGAAAAAGAACAACATTTTGTTTCATAGTACCCTCTGGTAATTTAACATAGCTATTGAAAATGGCCATTTATAGTTGATTTACCCATAAAAAATGGTGATTTTCCATAGTTATGTTAGTTTACCAGAGGGTAAAACACCAGAACACCATAGTTTCCTGCAGATGTTCCAGTTTTTCCCCAAGCTCCTTGGATTTTTTGGACGTCCTGAAGCTGCTTCAGGACCCTGCCAGGGCCCTTGCAAGGCCGGGAATGGGTGGAGCAGAGGAAGGAGAAGCTCTTGGAGGCTCCCAAGGCCTGGATTCCACCTGGATTCCTGGAAATCGCCATGGAAAGTCACCACAAAACCATGGCGAACTGTGAATGTCATAACCAGAGGGTAGGTCAATCATCTATTAGATGGTCCATTTTCCATAGCTATGTTGGTTTACTGCAGGGTATTTTCAGAAATGAGTTGAATCAGGAATTGATGAGGCCACCTGGTGAGACCTGTTTCCAAATTGATGCGATGGCTGCTTTGAAGACGAGAGGATGTCCCCACAATTTCGGTCTGAGAACTTGGAGCCGGCAAACCTTCGATGGTTTCTTGGGGGCATACGTCCATCACAATATATAAATCCACATAAATCCCCGTCTATTGATGGCTAAAGCCCCCGCTATACTCCTCACTACATGTTGGGGCAAAATCTTCGAAGACCAGGGTCCATTTGTGACTTGAAACGGCCAGATCCGGTGGCAACGGATGTGTCTCAGCTGCAGCAAACTGTTTGGAGATGCCCAAAAATGGCAAGGCCAACACCTTGTTGTGTGCAGGGGAATCATCTATGAATCTTGGGGCTGCCGAAACTGGGGGACCCCTTCTGGAAAAATTGGTTTCCATTTGGCATTAAATGCCCTGATTTTGACCGATCATGACCCAATTTCAACATCATCCGTGGGCTATCCCAATTTCAGAGACCCATCCTATGTATCTGTTGTGAGGTCCCTAGAAATAGGATTTCTCAAAGGAATTACCATTGGGAATCATCCTGAATATTGGCCCAACAAATCCATTTTTTTCATTTTCCAGTGCCATGTTGGACTGCTACAGAATATAAGCTGGGTGGTGGTTTCAAAAGCCCCAGTTCTTATGTGGATGCTTCCAATCTTAGATGTTTCAATCCATTCCATGCAACCCAGCAGTATGCCACCAACCAAGCCTTAAAACTCCTGAAGTAACTCCCATAGAATCTGATGAGGTGCAAGATCAAACTGCCCCTTCGAGTCTTTTCAGGGTGCAGGATCTTGCTAAGCGGGCCAAAACCGAAGCTGCTTAATCCGCATTCCAAAGATAGATTACATATTAATTACTATAATTAATGTATAAGTTACTTCATTCATCGATTCCCAGTCAGTCCAGTAACTACATCAACTACTATATTGTATAATTCTGATTGGTGGTTTGGAACATTTTTTATGTTTTCATATATTGGGAATAATCATCCCAACTGACTAATATTTTTCAGAGGGGTTGAAACCACCAACCAGAATTCGAAGATATTCGAAGTCCCGGATTTCGCTGCAGAATTTCAGAGCTTCGGATGCACGGCGAGGCAAAGAAACGGTGCAGTCCTGGAGCCGCTCCCTGCCCAGCAAGGCCAAAGGATTTCTCCACAGGGAAGTGGTTTCTTAAGTCATGTGGGATCCCACAGTAAGACTATGGTTGACCTAGACTAAGTCATGGTCATCCATGACGACCGGATGAGGTAAGGTACCATGACTTAGGATATTTTTCCGCATTGAAATGGCATTCTGGCTTTCTTTGGAACATGTCATCTCCCATTTATTGACTCATTTGACTCCGCACACCAATTGAAGTGATAATTCGGTTATGAAAATTGAGACACTTGTTATTCAATTCTCAGGGCCGAAGCAAACCATCCCTACCAGAGCCTGGGACCCAACATATTAAATCAGAAACTCATCTGCTTCATTCGCCAAGTCTTCAATTTCAGAACCTGTGGAAGATACACAAAATACCAGAAGAACATACCTAAAGAATCTCCTCTCAGCAGATCTCTGAAAAATCAGAAACTCATCAACACATATCAAACACGTATGGAGATGGGTTAAAACCTATTATTGCCATATCTGGGGAATGACCAAATACCATATCAACAAATACCAAAATACCACATCTACCCGCATATATTCTTCTCGCAGCGATTAACAGGTGTGCGTGTGCCGCAGATCAAAGATTCCTCGAAAGTGGCGCCTTTCTCCAAGCGCGCCTTAAGGCCTCGAGCCCCGACCACACCAGTGGTCTGGGAAGACAGATATGATATTTGGAGGTGGACAGATTATGGCCATTGATGGGAATGAACACACTGGGTTTGTAGATACTTTAATTACTGTGTTTTGAGTTTTTTTTTTTAATTCGCCAATTCATGGCTAATTCAAAAACACGGGCAACATTGATGAAGAATTGGGTGGAGTGACTTTTCCTATCTTGTGTCAAACCCAGTTAGTAAGATGGTTGGGATTGGTGTTTTTTGCTTCTCGAGGGGAGACCTCGAATTGATGCCGCTATCTGAGCAGTATTCAAGACCCCCCTGTTGGTTGATGATGACTTTGGGGGTTCCACTACCGTTACCCAATATCACTTGCGGACGATCATAATCCATGACGTGGGACTCATTCTGAATCCTGTTCTTAACCAACATGTCCATGGTGAACACATTAACACCATGTCCAATATCCATGAATTCACCATGCATGAGAATCATTCATATATTTCACTAAGATTTCCATGGACATTTCGACATTGCGCCAGGAAGGCCAAGAACTTGTACGGGAAGATGGTCTGGCAGGAGCTGTTGCCCAAGAAGGCCATGATGATCACGGCCCCCGACGCGAAGGAGTTGGAAGCTGCATCTTGGACCCCGGCCATCGCTGTCCCCAACCTACCAGGTGAAAGGCATCAGAATTTTGGAATTCTTTGTTGAATGGTATCAGTAGGTTCTCATGAATTAACAAAATGGGATTGTCTAACAAAATGGGTGGATATACATATACACACATATATATATATATACACACACACACCCTAAAATTGTCAATTTTGAAGTGGAAAAATATGGACGCATGACCTCAAAATACCATAAACCATAGACATTTTTTGGGGTTCGGCTTCGTGTGGGACAAACTTCGTTCGCCGCGACGCAAAAATCTCAGGTATTGGATGCGGCTGAGGAAGATGAAGTATGGCCTCTTGCCTGGGAATGGCTGGGGATTTCAGTGGAGAATCTTAGGGATTGAAGTCAATGGAAATGGAGACGGGAATGAGACACGAGTTTCCAGAAATGTTTCGCCCCAGAATTTCCCACAAGTGTTTCATCAGTTGCGAGAATAAAACTTCGTCTACATTTCAGCCAGACCATCAACGTGTATGGACCTCGCCGAACCATGTGGAACAGCACCTTCCAGAATTTCGGTGGAACCACGGGTAACCATAGTCCCCCAAATGCACCATGTTTGTCGGTCATCTTCCAATGAAGTACCCAGGACAGGGCTCTCATCTCTGTATACCATGGAAACTACCATCTGGTTATTTAACATTGCCATGGAAAATCCCTTACAAATAGAGGTTTCTAGCTGGGAAAATCATCTATAAATGGGTCATTTTCCATGGCTATGTTAGTCATAACCAGAGGGTAACATGACCTGACAAGATGGTGCCCTTCCCTTGTTTCGATGCTTCTACCCACCTGCTGGTGACACCCCAGGGACGTGGGTTAAACCTGACAACACCGGGCCACCGGTCATGCCCCTCCAAGTACAAGTTGCTTTAACGCCCATTAACTACACAGTATACACACATTAATTACGTATGTATATATATATATATATACACATCATCATATATCTACCACAAATCCAATCATCTGCCCTTCTTTTTTAGAACCACCTGCCTTGGTGAAACTGCTGCAGGGCCGAGCAGCCGGAGGTGGAAGTCGATTCGCTGGCGAATCTGCCACCGGAGCTTCTGGTGGAGGCGCAGATTCCCATGGCCTCCTTCAATGACGTGGCCAAGGTGGGGGGATGGTCTTAGCCACGGACTAATAATGGCTATGTATACATATATATATATATACATATATATATATACATATATATATATACATATATATATATATACATATATATATATATACATATATATATATATATATACATATATATATACACACATATACATATATGTACATATATATATATATATTATAGAGGAAAACCCAAGAAAGATTCGAACTATGATTTACGAACATGTATTTGAGGCGGATTTGGACCTTTTCCCATCTTTCTTGGGGAGAGATGACACATAAAAGGGCCGATATGTTCGCTAAACATCTTTTGCCACCGAGCCTGGGGAATCTGGGGAAAGATGGGATGATTGAGAACTCATTTGGGGATGGGTCAAAGACATTCAAAGATCTTTTCTCCACTGGGCTTACAATGTTAAAGAAAAATCTAATATGATTCCCTTGGGTTGAGCTGAATTTTCCACTCGCATCAAACTTGGCCAGTTTGCTTCGAAGTTGGTGAAGCATGCCCGGAGCGAGGTACCAGTCTGCGAGTGATGGGGGGAAATGTGTGATGCAAGAGAATCTGAGGTAGACTAGGTTACTTATAATTATACATACAGTATGACAATACCAACCAATATATATATACACACTATATATATATATACTATATATATATACTATATACATATATAGTATATATATATACTATACATACCCTCTGAACTCTAAACGTGGCTGGCTGGAACATCTCCTATAAATCGAGGCACCGGAAAATCATCTGTAAATGGAGGATTTTGGCGAACATTTCGCCATTGCCATGTCTTCATTGCCATGTCTTAGATCAAACACCCCCGGGCCAAAAATATGGGTCCAAGATTGGCAGGAGCCTCCGGCAAAGCCCAAGCCTGAAGCAAGCCGCAGTCGGCAAGGGAGCATTCAGGTGGCGCTTTGATGGAGGGGTTGGAGGATGTTGCCTGAAGCATTGAAATTGGACAATTTTTTCACGGAGATTCTGGGGATAACCGGGATAACCAACTCTGACAAAACCACGACTGGGTGTGTGTCCTGTAATATGCCTAGACCCAGATTTTTGTTTTGACTTATGTGAACATGACCTGGTTGTGGTTAAGCCGGTTAAGCATGATTTCAACAGCATTTCAGGAGACCTTTTACCCCCGCAGGTGCGTAAATCTCTGAGGACCACTTGCTTTTGCTGCAGAGATCGATGGTGTATTGGAGATATTCGCTAAAAGGACCCCCCCAAAAAAGATTAAATAGATAGAACATGATAGAACAGTTGGAAAGCTGGGAATTATGGAGGAAACATCATCGGACCATCTTGGCCACATTTTTCTATCTTTTTTTTGGGTTACCCTCTGGTAAACGTTTACATAACTATATGGGACATCACCATTTTCAATGGGTAAATCCGCTATAAATGACCATTTTCAATAGCTATTTTGACATAACCAGAGGGTACTGCATCTTTCCCTACCAAGTCTGGGCAGTTTGGCAAGGTCCCCTCCGAGCGCACCATGTCAGTCTGCACTGGTGACTCGATTTTTTTTTTTCGGCGGGCTGGGGAAATTGGGATCCTACGGGATCCTATGGAGATTTTGATCTGAGAGAATTGGATAGGCTCTGGTAATTCGATTTGGCAATGGGTACTTTATTTACAACTGGTGCATTTACGAGCTGCGTATGTTTACCAGAGGCTGGCTTGAACATCTTGATGAAAACAGAATAAAAGAGCTACTTTTTCCTATTGCAAATGGTGATTTTCCATTTTTTTCCATGTAATTACCGGGTATCTGGGGAGATTCGCCAGCAGAAACGGAACTCGGATGCAGGAATTGAACGGTAATTCTTGGCATTTCCAGGTGGCTGTCTGGTTGGGGGTGACATGGCTTTGTCGCACTTTTCGTTGGGTATATTTCACTCAAAAAACACTCTTCAACAGCCCATGTGGTATAGTGGTTTTCTATGGTTTTCTGGCCTTGGAATGGCCATGTGGTTGGCTTCATGGGGCTTCCATTTTTGAACCATCCCCATTGCCCTCCGAAAATCCTCTGTGGATTTCCCCTGTGGAAGGGGTGATTTCACCTCACGGCTCAGATATCTTGGACGAAGAAGGCATCGTTGCTGGGCCGCAGTAGCAACCTGGGAGGGGTGCCAGCGGTGATCACGAGACATCGAGCGAAAGGGAGGTTCTATGATGTTCTATTCAACTTCATATCTGGTTGGTGGTTTCAAACATTTTTGATTAAAGCATTGATTACCAAACGGTAAAACCATGATTTTTCCCATCATATAATCTGGTTGGGTGGTGACTGGAACCATGGAATTTGATGACTTTCCATCATATATTGGGAATGTCATCATCCCAACTAGGTCAACCAACCACCAGATATGTGGGAAGATCATCGAAGTGAGGGGGAGATCCTGGGATTTTTCGGCTGAAACTCCTGCCCAAAAGGCAGGTTGCTGATGGCAGTTTCGGCATGGTCGTGTTCCCCAAACTTTGATTTCTGGGGAAAACAACAGGGGATCATGGTGTAGGCCAAAGACATCGTGTGTCGCAAAACGGGAGAGGTTGAACTGTTAGCTTCTGTGAGCTTCTTGGCTTTGGGAGTGCTCCCTTTCTGGGCAGGTTTCTGATATAATTAACATTAATTAACCTCCAGCAAGGACCCTTGTGGCAATCTCCATGTCCAGGTTCCACAGGTCGATCTGCAAATGTGGGGATTTATCCGTTAAGGGATTCCACAGCGATTCGGGGTGACGAAGACCTACCCAGCAACATCCATAAACCTTGATGGTAAACATGATGGTAAACCGTTGAACAGGAGGACAATTACTCGATAAATCCATACACACATCTATTCTATTATTCCCAAACAACATTTTAGACCAGTGTCGAAGGATGTTATGGGTAAATTCATCATTTTAATTCATAGCCGTCATAGCCGTTGTAATGAGCATGAATGAATGCACTATCTTTACGGATACAAGATTAATGACTAGCATTTTACACCATTCATAAACCATTCGCTATCATTATACTATACATACACACATATATATATATATGCCATACATAACAGTTAGTAGGTATGATTCATTATACAATAATGGTATCAAATTTGCTTACAACCCATGAAACCATGAATGTCTAAGGTAGCCAGCATTGTCCAGAATATTGTTGGTGCAGCCTGGATTCAATTACGGTGGGTTGGTGCCAAAAGTCTCGTTTTTTGCCAGCAAAAGCGGAGATGTCACGAGGAAAACCATGGTGAAGGAAGGTGCCTTTACATGATACCTGGAGGAAAAGATGAAGGGTTGCTCCGACCACCTGTTCGCTAAAGGAAACATTGGGATTTTACCCCGACCTCTGTTGGTTGATGGTTAGTGATTTCCTCATGTTTTCCATAGTCATGATCATCATCCAAAATGATGGTTGGTCAAAATTCAAGGTTGCCCTGGCTTTGAACGGTTTGAACATCAAAATAGCTGGTTGTTATAGTTCATCCTCCCAAGAAAGTCCTTTTTTGATAGCCAGACCGCAGAGATCTGCAACATACTCAGCATTCAGCCGTTCTTATGAATAAGGTCATTTAGTAAAGCCAACAAGCTCTACCCAGTGACAGACCTATTGCAATCCATTTGTGCTTATAATCCTTACTATTTTTTGTTGAACATTGGGTCTGCCCACATCATGTAAACAGGTCTCCTGGCGAGGCAGCGAATCAGCTCAATTTCTGCTAGCTTGACCCTTCGGCACTCAAACATGGCAATGGACAATCCCCCCATTTATAGATAATTATCCCATATAAAACCTCCATTTTGGGTGGATTTTCCTGCCATGTTTGATTTTCCACCGGAGGGCACTTTGCCCTTAGCACTTTCACCTCGACTGCCATCGTTCAGGACAGCGACCAGAGCGAAGGGAACCGGCGGCCCAGTGTCCATTCGACGGCATGACCTCGACGGGTTCTGTGGGGCTTGGGTGCCCTCCCAATGACATCCAAATGGTTTTGGACACCATTTTCAGACACCAATTTGTGGTTTTTGAGAACCTGGTTGCCAAGCATTTTTCTAGCTGTTCATTCTTGGCAGAGCAGGTCATTAACTCACAGCTGGATCGGCCCGAGGATTTTCGTTGATGTCAGGATTCTTCCTGTCGCAGCAGCTGCCGCCTAATGAGATGGATGTCTTAATCACTTAATCTCTTGGAATGGGGGATGCCTGAACCATGTCCGTTTCCCCAAAATCGTTGAGGCTTGGGGCTTGGGATGCTCTCCACTGATGTTTTTATTGGGCGTGAACTGATCAGGCGGTATCTGGTGCATGCGGAAAACGAATCGCTCCGCTGCCGTGTGGCGGAAGTTATCTTTTATGGCTCCCTGAAGGGAGGAATGATGGCTATCTGGCTGCCATTTAAGTGCTTCAGCCGAACAGCCGAAGATATCAATCCCAATGTGGGGCTTGCAGAGACCATCTTGTTTCTGTTCGGCGGCATATCCATCTGTCAAGATCAACTTTGTTTCCAAAAGGGTGGTGGGTTACAGCCAAGAGCGGCCTCCAATTGACCGCTGGTTCAGCATGAACTACGCGGTGAAGAGCACGCGAGGTTCAGCGCAACGGTTGGGTCTTCAGGGACCCCCCGAGGGTGGAGCGCTAGGGCTGCGGTAAATCGTAAGGCAGAAGGTAAACATGCCTATAGTTGACATAGTTGACTTTGATATTTCTGGATGGGTTGGTTGATGCTTGTAGCCTTCAAAACAAATGGACAAAACACCGTGTCAACCAACAAAGATGGGAGCAGTACAAAATAATGAAACAAACCGGAATGGGGGTATTTGTCAACAATAGGGTGTAACATGGTGTAACTAGGTGCCCTGCCATGCTTGGAAGGGCTGCTAATGACCGTGGAAATGCCAACAATCCAATCCCATCAGGCAGATGTAGACTGCCCCGAGACACCGCAGCGCAAATCGAAGGGTCTGACCTGCCAAATGGCAGCTGATTGAGACCGTTTCCAAGGAAAAGATGGCAGGGAGCATGGATGGAACGCCCCTTTTATGGTCCACTCTCCGATGTACATCCCAATTGGATCCAATCTGGTTGATGGTTTGGAACCATGGAATTTTATGACTTTCCATCATATATTGGCGGTTAATAGCGGTTAATAGTGGTTAATAATGATTATCAATGGTGATATATCTGGTGAATAGTGAATGTCATCATCCCAACTGACGAACTAACTCCATGATTTTTCAGAGGGGTAGGTCAACCAACCACCAACCAGTGGATGGGAGCTCCAGGTGGACCGACTATTCGGCCACTGGATGGCCGAGTTGGGGTGCTTAAATTGTCCCATTGCAACATGATTCCCGATTTCTGTACTGCTATCGATAGATGAAATAAGTTATATAAGTATATCAAACCAGTTCTTTTCTTGGTATAAAAATGTGTAGAGTCAATTTTTCTAGTCCAATCTATCCGTTTTCTTGCCTTTCGGAAAGGCCAAGTTTGGCCGCGACGAGCTCTCTTCGATCGAGCGCGAAGGCTTTCGGCAGAAGCTCACGGAAGGTGCCCGGCCAGTGGGGTTCAACCAATAATGGGAATATCTACTGGATATTCATGGATATTGGGGGTTGAACCATGGTTTAACCAGGGGTTGGTACATGTTGGTACCCTCTGGTAATTTTCTACATAGCTATTTAACATGGCCATAGAAATAGTAGTGGATTTTACCCATTGAACATGGTGGATCTTTCCATAGTTTTTTGTATGTTTACCAGAGGGTAAATGTCAAAATGTTCCTTTTTTGGGGATTTTGACCGGGAAAAGTCTTTGTTGGAGATGATATCCGCCCTTTTGTTGGGGTGGAAGTAGGACATTTACCGACCCCTGTTAACCAACCAAAACGGGAGACAGATAAAATACTCCACAATGATTAGCCATGGACTATAAGACCATTAATACCATTTCATATCATGAAGACCCATAATGGGAAGATCTAGTGAATATTCATGGGTATTCATGGGATGTGTATGACCAGTATGATATCTGTATGTATTCAGTACTTGTATGGTCGGATGAGACTAGAAGTTACAATGACTGATTAGGACATCTCTATTGGGAATGAAATGCGACATACTGCAATTGATCATGGCTTCCCAGGATAATGCAGCGAATGAATCTATGATGGAGTAGTTGTATATGTGTGTGAAGAGAGGGAAAACATCTTTTTGTTTAACTTGATAATGTCATGAGTTTAAGAGTAGATTGCTGTGTATTCACTTTTTTCGGAATGATTTGTGGATGATCATCATATGTGTTTGCTTTGTTCAACGGAGCGAGGCAGTGCTGCAGAGGAATGAACTTGGTAGTGATGTGGCAAGCCGAATAACACACCAGACCAAACCACACCATACACAGTTTTGTCCTTAGATTAACCATATATTAACCTTAGATTTTCCATATATCAACCATATATTATCCATAGATTAACCATATATTAACCACGCGAACCCAATTTTGGGTTTGAATGCTTTACGCTAGGTGTCGATTGGCAAAAGTATGACCCAGTCCTGGAGTCCTATTCCTCAAGGACCAGTGAACACGTCGGGAATGGCAACGTTAGCGGGAGAACTATAGCTAGCTCCAACGTTAGCTTGAGCTCAGGGTTAGTCAATGTTAGCTGCATTGTCTCATTTTCTGTTTTTTTTTCAATGTATTATATAATATACATTATATATAATATAATAATATATATATATATAATACATAATATATATATGATATACATTATATATAATGTAATATATATAATATAATACATATAATACATAATCTATATAAAATATACATTATATATAATATAGTATATATATATATAACATACATAATATATATATATACACAATATAATATATAACAATATACAATACATATATGTATATAATATCACATAATATATATAATATACATTATATATAATATACATTATATATATAATATACATTATATATAATATAATAATATAATAATATATATATAATACATAATATATATATGATATACATTATATATAATGTAATATATATAATATAATACATATAATACATAATCTATATAAAATATACATTATATATAATATAGTATATATATAACATACATAATATATATATATACACAATATAATAATAATGATAATAATAATAATAATATATATATATATATACAATATAATATATACATAATATATATAACACACATAATATATATAATATACATAATATATATACATATACACATATATATATAATAGTACACACGTACATACGTACATACATACATACAGACAGACAGACAGACGGACGGACGGACGGACGGACGGACGGGCAGACAGACAGACAGAGCGACCGACCGACCGACAGACCAACAGACCCAGCGACCGACCGACCGACCGACCGACCGACTGACTGACTGACTGACACACACATATATATATAATAGACATATATATATTATATCATATTATATCATATTATATTATATATTATTATATTATATATTATATATATAATATAATATAATATAATATGATATAATATGATATATAATATAATATGATATAATATAATATAATATAATAATATTATATGATATTATATTATATTATATAATATACATAATATAAACATAATATATAATATTTATATAATATACATAATATATATAATATACATAATATACATAATATACATAATATATAATATACATGATATATATATATATTATATACATAATATTATATATAATAGTACTTGCATACATACGTACGTGCGTACGTACGTACGTACGTACGTACGCACGTACGTACATAGATACATAGAGTTGAATTCTTTGGTGGTTAGACAGTGGTTCACCCCGGTAATTAGGCGATGTCTGTAGAGGAAATTCAGGTTGTTTGGTGACAATTCTCCATTTTGTGCTGCCTAAATCCCCTATGTTCATTGGAAAGCTCCCCTATTTACCTCCCACCATGCACCAAGATTCTGCGGCCACGTACCGCCCCGTGGCACCCGTGAGGACTCCGATGAATTCTTACGACGTCTTGAAATGCAGTCAGGCCGTGTGGGTTTTGCATATTCAACCATCATTGATACTGTATATCTGACCAGCATTGCGGCTCCAGTAAAAGGCTGCTTGACCGCTAACTGTGTCGTGGTTCAGTATGGTGGGACAACATCCTTGCTGAAACCGAGCCAGTGGGTTTCAGGATATGCTGCGGATGACTGGGTGACCGTTGAAGTGTTGATCATTCGGAGGGTACCATCTGACAAGAAACTGAGGGGCTATCCCCAAATTTTGGGACCCGATTTCTTCGGGATATGCTGTTGTTGATTGTCATGGCGCTAAGTCTAGGGAATGGGGGAATGATCTACAGTCTTCGATAAGACTGTTACCCTTCTGTTTATTTGGGCTGTGGAACACCACCAAAATTCATTGGCAAATCAGAAAATCGTTTATCAGCTATCAGCTCATCTTTTTAGCAATGTGGGTAAAACAATGTCATAAACTCTCAGCTATCACCATTTTTATAGATGGTATGGTTACCATTCCCAGGAAAATGGGTGGTTTATAACATAGTTTTACCCACATTATTCCAATTATCAACAATTATAAACCATCATTAACCATTATTAACAACTATTAACCATTATTAACCATTATTAGCTAATTATGGAACAACTCACCAGAGGGTAACATCCCATCCCTTCCCTGCCGACGGAGAGGCCTGCTTCCACCTCTTCGAGTTGCTTCGCCTTCTGTTGCCGGAGCAGGAGATCCAGCCCGTAGATCCAGCCCGGCCATAGTGGGTACCCCAATAAGCTGGATGGTTTCTGGAAAATCATATAAAAATGGAAAATAAATGGTTTATAATGGAAAACCATATTAAAATGGATAATACATGAATAAGTGGGGGTGGATGGTTTATTTCATGGGGTACTCCTATGACTTAAGAAACCTCTATATGAAATCTAGAAGGGCTTTAAGCGACTTGAGCAGAAATGATGGTTGATATTTTGCAGAAACTGTTTGACATGGACTTGGAGATCAAGTTTGGGACAATGTGGTAAACCCAATGAACCTTCCCAGTAACCAGCCATGTGGGGGTCATTTTACATCATCCCAAACAGGATACATACATACATACATACATACATATATATATATTTATATACATATATATATATAATTATATATATATATGTATATATGTATATATGATATATAACAATAATGATAAACCTCTTGTTGGGTTTTATTGGGGATATTTATGAAAGATGACAAACCTATGATACACAGCAATTGGTATTGCTTCTGGTAGTTGGAACATGTTGATAGCCGCGACATGGTACCGGCGGGGCCGACCTGGCGAGGAAAGGCCGCCGAGATATCTAGAGTCTGACATCAAGGCAAGGTGAAACTTTGATGGTTTGGAACATGGCTTGAGAAATTTCCATTTCATATATGACAATCCTTCCCATTCACGAATGTTTTTCAACATGGTTAAATCCACCAACCACCTGATGATGATGATGATGATGATGGTGGTCTTGGTTGTTGGTGACTTGACGATTTGAGTAGAGAGGCCATGTTCGCACATGTTGAACGTGTGAGAAGCAATGTGCCACAAAGCACGGACACCGCTGGTGCGGAAATTGAAGAGGCTTGCGGATGATAGCATTGTCGACATACATTGCAGCGGTACATTACATGAGCGACACAGGCTACGCGGTTGTAGCTTTGTGTAAATGCTTTAGGCCGCACCATACGCTCATACACTGCTCGCATGGATTGTACTGTATTTGGTGAAAATCAATCTATGATCAATGATCGTTATTATGATTAATGATCGTTACTATGAGTAATGATCGTTACTATGATTCCTGGTTGGCAGTAGGAGTTGAAGCGTGCTTCGAATTCGTGCGCCAGACGCTGTTGCGGAATTCGAAGAAGTTCACCAATAGCATCTTCGAATTGATCAGCAGCGGCAAATTGACTGAGCAATAAAGGCTACGCGGTTGTGGCTCTTTCTCCATGCTTCGAGCCGCACCATTTGCTCGTACAATACCGGCAAGGATGGCACTTTGTTCTTTGGTTGGGCGATACCCAAGGAGAGCAGACTCATTAAATTCAGTGAAGGAGGTTCCGCTTGACTCTGTTCACTTCTTGGTTGACCAGTCTTCCAAAGCAATCATGTCCTGTTTATAATTATAGCATCTTCGCTAATACCCTCTGGTACATATAGATTTGGACATCCATGTGTTTCCTCCGCTTTTTTGCAGAAAATCCAGACCTGGTGGGGGTTTTTATAGCTAGTACTGGAGGGTTTCACCAAAGAACCTGTTATTTTTGATGGGAGATTCCAACTCATTTCACTGAGTCATCCCGCAGAATTTTCCCAGGCATTTCGTGCCGGACGCGGCCGGTGATGCGAAGCGACGGTCGGCGGAGAACGAGGGCTGAACGAGACGCGGCCGGTATCCACAAAATCACTGGTGTAGCCACCCAGGAACTGACCGCTGTGTGCGTTGGAAAAGGTGCGGGGAAAGGCGGGCGTGCAGCTCTGGGTTTGTCTCATTACTCCGTATTGGCCGGTTTACTCCCAGTACTGGTACATTGAGAGAAATATCAAAAGAACCATCATTTCTTGCCCCGAAAATGTTATATAAGTTATATATATATAATATAATATACATATTCATGTGGGCCTATCAAAGAGAACAGTTGCCTTATTTGCATCTATTAACCAAAATAATCTATGACTAAGGTGGTAAGCCCACCAATCAACCATCACCAATACCACCAATCATCAGTCTGTTGGTATAGCTATCAACAACCATCCCCAATAATGTAGATTTTACACCCTCCAAAATTGGGTGTGTATAAACCCTCCAAAACTATCATCATCATCAATAACCTTCCAATAATGTAATAGCTTAGTAGCTCCCGGCCAGGTCTGCGACTGCGTCGCGGGATGCCAACAGCTCCGGCGACTCGAGGTCAAGGTGACCCAGGCGCGGAGGTGGTTGGAAAAACCGGTGCGTTCTTGTGGTGTGTTGTTCTGCTAATCACAGATTTTTCTTTGGTTTAACATGGTTTCATCATGTTTCATCATGTTTCATCATCATATATGGGGATTTGATATGGGTGTAACCACCAAAATTTAGAACATTTCATTACAGATATGAACTTGTTCAAAAAAAGGGTCATATCTGTATTTTTCAATGGTTCAAAAAATAGGGGTAACACTGGACCCGGCTTATATGGCTAGTCGTGGTTCAGCAAATATCACAATCATCTAGGCAATGTCTAGGCAATATCTTGGTATTGTGATATGGTATTTTTGCTTTCAATATAAATCACCAATATAGATTGTGATGAATATATCAATGGGGATTTATCTTCCCTATTGATATTTTCTTCCCCATCCGCAGAAAACCAGCTTCAAAGTTGCAGTCCGAGGATGATCAGCAGGGAAACCTCAAGAATTCAGCAGGGATCTACTCTGCCATACTCTGCCAGTAAGACGTACATCGCTCCGAAATTGATTCCAATACCCTCTGGTAGACCAACATAGCTATGGAAAACGGCCCATTGAGTTAGATTATTTACTTATTATATGATGTGCCAGTACACAAACCGTTCAGTTTCCATCAAAACATTGGCTTTTCAGTACCCCAAGACAGGCAAATCTGGTTGGTGGTTTGGAACATTTGGATTATTTTTCCCATCATATTGGGAATGTCATCGTCCCATTTGACTTTCATGTTTTTCACAGGGGTTGTTTTACCACCAACCAGAAATTTTCAGTTGCTGAATTTTCGTCAGGATGACGAGGTGGTCTCTCCACTGGTGATCCAAACCGTTGGGAGCACCTGGATGGGTCACTGGAAAGTGTGAACCCAGCTGGATGGATTTTGACCATCAACATGGTAATGAAAATTAACGAATCACTGGTAATAAGTGATGTTATAATATACAAAAGAGTGTTTTACAATGGGTTTTTACGATGATTTTGCTATCAATATATATATATGATTTTATGTGTTTTTTTTTTAAACATGTAATTCTACATTATTCAAAAAGAACCTTTATGATATATTTCTATCAGTACATGAATGTTTATCGAAGATTTGGCTTCGGAGGTGCTTCAAGCTGCCACGTCATCGAAAGGATGGTGGTTGGTGCAAGGGAAATCATCACCAGAAATCGCCTTTTCAGAGTTATGGTGAGTTATGGTGAGTTATTGGAGGTTATCAATTGGTTAATATATGGATGATATGGTTAATAACCTCCAATTAGTTATGGTTAATATATGGATGATATTGGAGGTTAATATTAGTAACCTCTGGTATTTAACCTCTGGTATATATGGACAATATGGTTAATACCAGAGGTTACTAATTTAATACGCCCTGCTTGGGGTGTATCAACCACATTTTTTGAGTTCTTTGCATCCCTGTTTTGTGTTACAGTAGCTCTACCATCAATTTTCCCTGTTTCTCCTCGATTCACCTGCCCACATCTTCGTGGTTCAATTCTCCATTTCTACACCATGTCCTTGCACCCAGCCCTTTTGATGCTTCGTAGTGATTCATAATAGTATTTGAGCTGTAACATCCACATCTTGTCTGGGGCTGTAGGTCTGTAGTTCCGACATTCAGTTGGATACCAAAAGTCTCCACTATCGATGCTAGTCTCCAAATTTGGAAATTCCAACCAGGTGATCACAATTTTCACCATCACAAAAAAGCAACTTTGGTCTACACCTCATTTTGAGCCAGACCAAACACTCATATTGTTGCTTGGGTCCTGTTCTATTCCCATGAGATTCCTACGAGTTTTTGCATCAAATGGTCGTTTTATACTGGACAATCCCCTCTTATTGTTGCAAAAATATTCTGTTGCTCTCCATGAAAAACGATCATATTCCAAGGATATTCCCCTGCATATCCACTAGGATCTAAGCTTATTGTTGGTAAATCGGTAAATCATATTGCATACCCTCTGGTTATTTAACATAGCCATGGTATAGATGGCCCATAGAAATAGATGGCTTACCCATTAAAAACGGTGGATCTTTCCATGGCTGTGAATGTCATAACCAGATGGTAATATCCATGAATATCCGCGGTGATATCTCTTCATGGCCTAACTTGATCGGCCCTTGAGGTGGTGGATGACGAAGAGGCAGAGGTGGGTGAGTGGAGGCGTGGGCCGACGGGCGGACAGCTCCGACCTGAGCTGTTCCTTAGGTCTAGATATAGCATGATATAGCTTCGAAACAGCTGAGATTTAATCCAATGAATCATAGGATATAGCAAATCACAGCGGTTTTTTTCATTGATTTATATGATATATATATATACGTACATATTCATAGAAGGCATGTTATTTTCTGATTAGACGCTGGTCAAGATGGGAGAGGCAACCTGGGCCGTTGAAAAAGAGGATTTACGGATCAACAAATGGTGAGTTTTCGATGGCAAAGCGTTAACTTACTACAGGCTATGGGATGAGACCTTCTAATTCATGTGGGTTATGAGGGTTATGAGGGCCTAAAAAAGGGTTTAAAGCTGCTGAAAGCCAATATTTTTGGGACCGAAGTAGAGGAATTTATATGAATTTATGGGTCTTGTCTCAAGCTCGGGGTAGCAATTGGGATGTTCATCCCACTTGTTGGATAGAACAAACCGAAAATTTTGAATCCACCAGCCAGATATGAAGTCTTGGTGGACGAATCCATGTGAATGATCGGGGCATGATGGGTTTGAAGATTTTCTAACCTTTTCCTACAACTCATATACATTTACACATACATTTACATATACATTTATATACATATAGATAGCGGGTTTCTCGATGAAGTTTGAAACGGATGAAGGGTGTTCTTAACTGGGTGGTCAAGCCAATGGGATGCCCAGATATGGTCAAATGGATTTGCACCAGCCCCGAACCGTGGCATTGAGCCCTTTGTTCCATACTAGCTACATCTAACTACAAGACCACTTGGAGAACCAGATCCGAGTAAAGCACAAGTACCCTGAGGACTTCTGGTAACCAGTTGTGGGCTGAATAGCGAGGTCAGGTAATTCAGTGGGATCATCCACTTTGCGCTCTGCGGAGGTACATTGTGTTGGACCCCAAAGGGGTCACGCTGAGATCGCACGCCACGTGCCCGGCGGGATGACCTGCTTGACATTTTTTTGATGTTCATCCAAGAAAAAATCAAGCACATGTGGGATGGTTCATTAGCTAATGAACATCCCATCATTAGCTAATCATTGTATGGGGATGAACAAAAACCACAAGGATTTCGGGATGTCTTCTTCCCATCAATGCTGATTTTGGGCAACTTGGGGGTGCCCAGCAAAAAAGAGCAACCTTTTCCATTAAACTTCAACACATCTGGAACCCCAAACAACCAGAAGCAAACCGTTGTTTCATGATCGGAGTGAAGATTTCCTTCATAAATGGTTTAATTTTTTTGGAAGCCACTCCTTATTTCTCCTGTTTTTTTTGGGGGGTTTCCGATTGGTCCCAGGTACGACAAGGCAGCCAAGTTGAAGGAACGGCTGGAGGAAGGGGAGGCTCCGTGGGTGCCATTATGGCATGGTCAAGTCTTGGAGGAATCTCATTTCTATCGTTTTCATGGTTTTTTTTTCCCAGATGTTTCTCAGAAAACCATGATACCCTCTGGTAATTTAACATAGCTATGGAAAATCACCATTTTCAATGGGTAAATCCACTATAAATGGCCATTTTCGATAGCTATGTTAGTTTACCAGAGGGTATTTCTATGGTTTTTTTTCCCAACTTCTATGGCTTTCCCCAGGTGGAAAATCCAAGGCTTAAAGCCCACGTGTTTTCCACGCCCAGCTTCCAAAACCCGAAGGTGGTGGAAGTCTTGGAACGCCGCGAGGGACCCGACACGGTGCAGCGTAAAGAACGGGGTTTTTTATGGGGTTGGAGCAACAAGAAAATAGGGAAACAAACATGGGGATTTTTACTTGGTGAATCCTAGGATTTAGTGGGATTTCATATTTTTTTTTAAAAGTTAATCATAGGAAATCATCAGATTTAGTGGGTTTTAACACATATGTATATATATATATATGTTATTTTATGGTGATTATCATAGGATTGAACTAACAAATCTGGGGATCTTCATCACAAACCCTCAGGATCCCTCCGGTGATTTGCATGGCTATGGAAGATGTTGCGATTTTTTCTTCGGTGATTTACCTGAAAAACAAATGGTTGAAGTAGGGTAACCTCCAACATGGTGATTTCGGATTTAACATGATTTAAAGCCATATTTAAGCAGGACATATGGTGACTTGATGGGGATCGACCTGAAAAAAATGGGAAATACCATCTGGTAACTTCATAGACATGGAACCTAATGGGGAAAATTCAGGAAAAAGACATGGTGGGTTTTCCGCTATCTTAAATTGCTGGAGGGTCACAAGAAAAATCCCATGGATATGAAGTGTCTTCAAAACTTGACACTTGGTGGGGTATTTCAATAGTTCTTGTTGGAACTGGTAGACTTTCCATTGGGAGCTCCAGCACGGTTTGCTGCACAGGGTCTGCAGTTTGTGCGGAAATTCATAGCCATAGCTCCCAGGGCTTCACCCACATGATGTGTGTTATGCGGCCACATAGCATGTTTAGTTCTTGCAAGCCCAGCCCTTGTTGATGACATTGGGAAAGAACCACAAAAAAAAAGCGGTAAAATACACGGTCTCGGATTCTTTCTAAACGATTCCAGCTGATTGACTTCAACGGTCTGGTAGCTCTGTCCTGTATCCGGGGCCATCTGTCATCTGTGGGTCTTGTACTGGTTGGTTGATAGAGGGGTTAACCCCCAGGTCCAAGGCTGTTTTCCCCACTTCAGGACATTGTTGTTACCCCCATGCATTCCCTAATATATTACTGCTTGGTGGTTTGGAACCATGGAATTTTATGACTTTCTATCATATATGGGAATGTCATCATCCCAACTGTTACTAAAACTCCATGATTTTTCAGAGGGGTAGGTCAACCACCAGCCAGATTTGAGTTTGTTGGTTCGTGCAAAGTCTCCCCATGATATCTCCCCATGATATCCCCATCCTTCCATCTTCAGTTTTGATATATGGACCATATGGATTGAACGGCTACCCCAAAATACCACTGGTATCCATTGGGGAATCACCATTTCCCTAGGGGAATGCCACTGGTATCATGTGGAGTTCACCAGCTGGCCCCAAGGCCCCCAGTCGTCGTTGCCGCAGGTCTTCTTGAGAGTAGAGATCCCTAAATCCGGGTGTGGCAGCCCGGATTGGGAGACTTTCGAGCCTCTCAAATCCATTGGTTCACCATCATGGATGGATTATCAATGGTTTCATCATTGCTTCATTGGTTGGTAGCCATTTTAATCCTCATTTTAATCTTATCATCGCGTCTGGATTTTTTTCCCAATCATTATTATTGAAATAGATTAAAATCCATTAAATTTGGATAATCATCTATTCCATCATTGGATAATCATCTATTTTCCATCCATTTGGTTCATCATTCTCCCAGACGCTCGCCCTCTGGCGTCTTGGGATGATCGCCGGTCAGACCGACCAAGTTACCTCGTTTGAGTTTATCCAATGGATCCAATGGAGTATGGATTATCAACCTCCAATGGATTATGGATTATCCATAGTTTTATGATTCGCATCCAAGATTGAAAAGATGAAGAACATCTAAAACGAAAATAGTGGCACATTACAATTTGAACCCTTCCTGTCTTTTTGTCTCTACACGGGAGTGCCGGCGACACGAGACGTCAATGCGTATTTGGCCATGGATCCATGCAGTAGGGCCCAGTTTGCTTCAAAATAGCTGGTAGTTATGGATGTTCATCCCCCCCAAAAGGGTAAGTTTTGATCCATCCCATTCGTATATGATTAATCAAAAAAAAGTATATATAAGATCCTCTCATATCCAAAGTTATTGGTAATTATGCTAGTTAGTGGGGTCAGAGAATGCCACCATTGTGACCATTGTGGCAAGATCGACACCAAGGAATACCGGTTGGGCATTCACAACTCAACCTGGACCTGGGTCCTTTTTGAGGCGCGCGTGACGTGGGATGGGTGTGCCTTTTTTAAAACCCGTGATGACCAACATCCCAATATGGTAGATATGGTAGATATATCCATATGAAGGTTTTTTAATATCAGTGAATTTATAGACTTAATATGGATATTATACACTATTATACACTGCACATTTTGATATATCTACCATATCTAGACCCATTAAAAAAAAACAGTCGCTGTAAATTGTAGTGAAACCTCATCATTCCCACGATGATCCGAGGGGCTGCTTAGGGATTTGATTGAACCATGATGGCTCTGATGGACACTCCAAATGTCTGATGGGAAACAATAGATATCACCACCATCCATGAGATTCATATTCTAGCTGGTAATGATAGTATTCTATGATATTCTATGATATTCTATGATATTCTATGATATTCTATGATATTCTATGATATCCACAATGGATATTCCAACAATATTCGATGATAGTAGCTAAATCAGGAATTCCAAACTTGTTCGTTGCACAGATCGTCACCATTGTACATCATTGTACCACATGAGCAGTGACCACTTGAAGTGGCTCATTAGTTGTGAAATACTGTAGGGGGGTAATTCTACTAGCCTGACGAATTGAGGATGCTCTTATCACCAAAGAATCCACAATTGATCAGGTGGGTTCATAATTCATAATTCATAACTATTCATAACTATTCATAACCTACAATGCCCATGATAGTCAATGGTCTCTTGATAGTGATTTCCTGGTTCCTAGATTTCCCGGGGCGATGTATATTCCTATACGATAATAGTTGACCTCATTGGTTTTATTGGTTATTGTCAGCCACTATATGATTTTATATATTTATAATGGATATTGAAAGTACTATTACATAGAATTGTTGAAACTCCTATCAGGGTAATCGGTCATTATCTCATGACACAATGGCTTAATAACCTCTCAAATAATTACCTCTGTGGTTGATAAGAACCTTTTTTTTGTGGTGTTGATTGCTGTTTATTGTCAACCAATATCCCAGTCATCAACCAGTTTTTTGGTGTTTATTACTGACCAAATCTTGGTGACAAGATTTTGACCAGGCTCTTGGAGGTCGAAGTCAAAAGCTGCCATTTGTGCGCCGGAGGGATCAGGGGATAGCATGGGATAGCATGTTCTTCACAGGCCATGAAAATCCATGAACATCTTGCTGTTTCATGGGTGAATCACAGTTAGGCAAATCTCGTGGAAAAGCGCCTGAGGGGCAAATCGGTGGCTTTTTGATCTTTTTGCCCCACTCAGATCCGAACATCACACATTTTTAAGCGCCTGAGGTGTTGAAAATCCGTAGAATTTATATGGCTCCATCCTGATGGTGATAGCATTGGGTATTGCTATTCAAGATTGGTCAACTTTTTTGGCAAAAAAATAACTCTATCTTTGGCAGAAACTACAGGACAGATGTGGGAATTTTATGAATTGAATGATTGCTATGGGTATCCAGAAAATATAGAAGTTGGCTGATACCCAAAAATCATCAAAAATCCCAAACTCTGATCCGTTGGCCAAACATTTTTGGCACCGATTTCCCCAAAAAACCAGGAAACACTCATTAGAGGTTACCACATGTGCATACAAGGGTTAAAACATGTGTTTCCATATGTAAATGGCTCGAAACCACCCATTTTTGCTTCGTTTTCATCTATTTTCCCCCATGACTATGGATCGAAACCTATTTTCCGCAAATTTAGGGGGATGAACATCCATAACTACGCTCCTCTTTACTAACATTAATATAGACTATGTAGAAAACTCACTTTGTAGATCATTTTCCTGTGGGGTTTCCTGGGTTTTCCTAACATTTTTTGGTTAGGACCTGCCACCCTGACGTGGGACGGAGGTATTTTCAAGCGCAGAAGCGGACGGCGCTGCGGAAGCGCTGTTCCTACGTGGACTCTGCGAAGGCGGTTCCAGTTGGAGGTGTGGGGAAAACAAGGCCATATTTTTACCATCCATTTTCCTGGGAATGGTTTATGTCTATAATTGTATATATATATATGGGTATGGATCAATACCTATTAATACCATTTTTAGTGGGATGAACATCCATTTACCAGCTATTTTGATGTTCACCAGGGGTACAAGGTTTTGACACACTGCCATATATATATATTTATACCACCTGTATATTTTAACTGGTGATGACTGGGGGATAGTGCAAATGGCATTACTCCAATTCCATTGCGGGCATGGTCGGAAAAGTCCCATCATTTATCCTGATCATCTCATTTATCCTGATCATCAGTGAGTGCATTTCAAGATATTTCAACATGGAATCCCGAAAATGCCACAACAATATTAGCATGATAGTTACCTGCAATTCATGAAAAAACAACGTTTTTTTTGCGGAACTCAGAGGAAGTCGTCGTCTCGAAAGCTATGACTTGAAAGGACTTGGGGGTGCAGTTGGGGTTGTTAATGATTGTTCCTGGCCCCAACTATGGGCTTCACAAGTTGGGGCCCCAGGGGCCCCAAGGAGGATTCCACAGCTCCAATGCGCTCCGGTTGCCCAGGTGGGTCGTATGGTTGAGAAGGGACAGCTGCTTCATGTGGTGCGACGATTGGAGGCCGGCCCTTGACCCATGGGGCACGGGGATTTCATGGGGATTTATAGCCTAAATGGGGAATCTTCACCAAAGTGAAGATTTAGCCTAAATGGGGACAGAATGGTGAAAAATCCTTCATGAATGAGTATGAATCATCCTCTAAAATGGTTGTATACCATGATTTGATGGGGATGGGTAACAAATGATCCATATCTAGTTGGTTTTTTCACAGGGATTTCACCGCCAAACTATGACTGGGGATTTAAACCATCAATCACTGGGGATTTATGGCCCTTGGACGACCAGGATAGGCCTGACCAATGATCCGTTGGAGCTCGAGAGAGAAGTCGTGTTTTTGTTCTGCAAGGGACAAAGGGTCATAGACGTACGTCTACTGTATATACTCATAAATCGCGAAGAAATCCAAGAAATCCAACTCCAGTTAATCCAAGATGACAACGGGTTGGGATCCTTTCCGCTTGGACCAGCTAAACGACAAATGGCGGCGAGAAAAAATGGCTTCGGGTTTTGGAGCCACAAGAGACAGGTCAGACCGTTAGCATTTGAATCTTTACTAGATGTTTTTTTCCCCATTTAAATATCTATTTGATTGTTGATTTTTCTTTGGTATGTAAATTTTCAATTGGACCATTCCTGTTGGACCATTCCCAATATCTGTTGGTATTTAAATCTCTATTGGTATTTTTAAAAAACAAAAGTTGTGTTTTTTTGAAAAATCCATATTCTATCTACTCCAGGATGACTCTAAATTTGAACCATTCTCAACTCACGGCTGCCATTTCAGCCCCGGCAGGTGGGTGGCACCACTGGACTGCAACTCGATACTGGTGAGTGGCTCGTCTTTCCCAAGGCGCTGAAAAAGTCGCGTCATTTCTCGAAAAGTGCCCCAAGAGGCATGGGATTACTTGGTAAAAAATGGCTGAAACCTATGAAAACCTATGGAAACCTATAAAAAACACATATGGAAACCTATAAGAAAACCTGTGAACACCTATGATCTTTATGGGACCTTCATGGAGATTTAACCCTCCAACATGGGGATGACGAATGGGGATATCATGTACATTACTTATAGGTGGTTGGTGGTTTAAACATGTTTAAACTATGATCCCAGATGATTCATACGTATTTTTCAGAGCCACCAGTTCCGAAACCAAAAAAAAGTCTAAGAACGACAAACAAAAACAATCTTGGCATCCAGTGTTTCGATTTTCCGGGAATCTCCGTGTTCTTTTTTAAAGCAATTTTTCCCATGTCTAACTCCTCCAAGACTGGTGGATGCGCCCGGCCGTGGCAGGATCAAGGAATCTCCCTGGAAGGTCCGCTCGAGGTGCGAAAGATGCACAACGAGGAAGCAGTCTGGGCCACCCAGCGAAGCGGAAGGATCCGGTATTCATCCGGAAAAAGGTGGGGAAATGATGGGAAACATATGGGATATATGGGGTACCGCAATGGTAAACTGGTAAACACCTGAAGTGCAGTTTTCATCAGGATCTCAGACCAAAAACTGCAATAACCATCAATAACTGGGGATACAGCCCTTATGATAAGACCATTTGATTTTTTTGTGCTACAGCATGGTACAGGACAGTTTTCCACATGGGTGACATCTCCAAGAACCCCAAGAGATGGATCGATGACATTTTTATTAGGGAAGCCTGAGGGAAATACGATATAAATTTTGGGAGCCCAGCACCAAACAGGACCCCAAATGGTTGAGTGGGGAATAGATTGGACTCCTGTTCTTTTGGGCTCCTGAATTCATCGAAAAACAGCCAGATTTATGAAGGATGAGGGAAGTGGCTGTTGAACAGAGCTTGGCAAGCTCGATTGTTCAAGTTAAACAAGTAGCATCAAGTAGCCCTAGCTTGTCATAGTTTAGACAGCTGGTGTGTAATAGAAATATATAGAAATAACAATGTTTAACTTCCTTCAGCCTAGTAGCCTGGGGCCTCAGTTGAGTCTGAAGTTTCTGGAGTTGCGGAATCCGACATGGGCAGCCCCAACCAAGTATCATCAAATTTCATCAAAGGTATCATAAAAAACGTAGGGGACTAGGGGAACATCCGTTTACTGATGCTATTCTTGTATTTGTTTTGGACTTGTTTCATCTTGTTTCCCTACATGAGGGTTAACCTATGTTAACCTCCATCCCTTCATTTCCGCCTTCAGGAAGTGCGTGCAGATGAAGCGGTGGCTTTGAGGAAAGGTCCAACCGAGCTCCCTTGGGCCCTCACCAAGAAGGCACTGGTGGAGAATTTCAAGACTTCAACCGGCGAACCTTACCGTAACTAGAAGAAATGTCCCCAACACTGGCTTGATGAACATTCTAACCAAGACTATTCGGTTCAGTTTTGGGGATGCGTGTACCAGGCGTACCAGGCTTTTGATCACATAGAATAATGATGACAGCCATGGTTAGATGGACCTGAATAACATTTCTTACATAGAATCATGAAATAATCACTACATGAAATCCCACTTATGCTAGCCTTATTTCAGCCTTCGTATGCTTAAGACTTCCAAAAACATGTCGGTGGATGGGGATGCGACCTCCAAACCACTCCAAGGCGTCTCATCCCCAACCCAGGTAGTAGAACCCCCTTTAAGGTAGTAGAACCCCCTTTAACCAATCACCAAGGGGATTTTGAATGGCGTCAATCTATCCGCGTTTCAACGATGTCACTTAGGCGGATGTTTGGATTAAAAGTTTCGAACATTGGATCAGACAATGATTTTTGCGATGGATTTTGCTCTCTTTTTTTTGTGGCGCTACCGCATTTTAGGTCCCAAGAAATCCCTTAACGGACGGTGTTATAAAATCAATAGAATAAAATACATCATAATACATCCCAATTTTATTCTGGCCTTTTTCAAAACATCTTCTGTTTAGCTCGGACGAAGGACATTCCGAAGTTTGGTAAATCTCCCATTTTGGGGTCAAATTCCCTAGGTGAAACATGGGGAAATTGATTTTTCTCATTTTCCTAGGCCGAAGGATGCCGTTAAGGTTCCCCATTGATGAAACTTCGATGGATTGCGGGTGAACTCGCAGGAGAATCCGTCGCAGGTAACTGGTGAGATTTTCATCCTGATCATAAGCGATTCGTAGGCTTAACAAATTGAATAAGGCTGAAGTAAGCCCACTAGATTCACTAGATGATCTATATATATATGGGGGTTTCCTGAGCTTGGGGGTACCCCAAGGTCGCTGGATGGTTTTTTAGAAAATCCATGTATCAATGGATGATATTTCTCATGGGCATCCCATGGTTTCCCCAATCAGAGTTCGGTGGTTAAAACGATGCCATTTTTACCAGCCATTTTCCTGGGAATGGTAAAACATACCATAAAAAATCGGTGATTTGGGGGAATGGTTTATTTTTTCGTTTTACCCACATTAACCAGTTACTCACTTGTCGAATTGGTTCGATATCCCACGATATCCCCAATTGATTGTGCGGGTTTGATATCTACCATTCCTTCGCCATGATTGTTGGTTTTATATCAGCCCACTACAAGGTGCAAAGTGGGGCCTCCAGGTATAAGTTGATTTACAACCCCCATTAACTAGTTCGATGTATCTACCATAGTCCTTGGTTATACCCTAGGGCCAACTAAAAGAGATGTGGAAAACCACTGGTTTTGGACAATGATCTTCAAATGGTGGGTTCTCCACATCTTTTTGTTGACCGGAGGGTTTTAGTTCTTAACCATAGATCTTTTACCCTAGATGTATCTACCATAATCCTCTTTGGAACATGGCTTTTATTTTCCATTTCATATATGGGGCAATCCTTCCCATTGACGAACTCCATCATTATTCAAGATGTTTGTTTTACCACCAACCAGTTATTATTAACCATCATTAACCATATGATAACCATCATCATTAACCATATAATAACCAGATATTAACCATCTATTAACCATATATTAACCATGGTATATGATACTAACTTAGGTTAGTTCTTAAGCAACTTCGCTCATGGGGTCACCACCTCCGGCAGGTGCTTCTGCCAGGCTCCAAGGTCTTAGCCATTCGACGCGCCATTTGGAACCGAAGTTGGGCGGGCTGTTGGTGCGGCTGGTGAAGCAACAAGAAGTATGCTGGTGAATTTATCATGGGACTATATTGTAATATATTGGGATATAGCGTGATATATTAATATCCATTAGTTCACCATTTATATATATAGTATAATATATTGGGATATACCATATAAATGGTGAACTAATGGACATTACTGAAACATGAATGAGATATTAATGGATGGAAAATTGGGGGATTTACCTTCTGGTTTCATTAAAAAACGTGGCTGGGAAATCTCCTAGCCGTGAAAATTCGAAGGCGCCTGGCTCTAACAACCATAGTATAGTAGTAACCATAGGTATAAATATGATCCAATCCACTGATGGGATAACTATTCATAGTAACCATAGTAGTAACCATGGTACAAGGTGGTGCCCCCCAAGTTATAAGCTGGTTTATAATCCCATTAACTATAGATATATCACCTATAAACCATAGTTATTGGAGTTATTTGCACCAACTTAGCTATCGAACGGGGGCACCACATTGTAATAACCATAGTAGTAACCATGGTATTCTCATCCACTCGTAACGCTTAAGTCGGCTAAGGCCCACCTGCATGGTGAGATGTGGATGGAAGTGATGCAACTGGGTGGCCTTTCCGGTTGGGTTCCGGAAACCCAGCTGGGTCGACTTCTGGTGGACGAGAAAAGGAGGATGTTGGAGATGGAACACCATCAGATGTCCCCTTTTTTTGTATAAAAGTTGCGTTGGAAATGGTTGATTGATATCCCATTAAAAATCCCATGGAAAATCACCATTTTTAATAGGTGTACCTATTATAAAAATGGTGGATTTTCCATGGGATTGTTTATGGTGATGAAAATCGGGAATTTTCGTGGGATTTTTGTTTGGATGATTTTCATGGGAATTCATGGCAGATTTCATGGGATCTTATGGTGATTGATAGGGATCCAAGAAATCTGGGGATGTTTTTATGGCCCATTTATTCTCCGACTTCCTGGATGGGACAGTTTCAAGACTCAGGACTTACGACTTGTGAGTCAGCTACTCTTATGACTAGGATCCTTCTATAGCCTGAAATCCAACATGGAGCCAAATCAGGATAGAATCGTCTTCCGGACCGGAAAAAAATTCAACGAAGTAGCCCCAAAAGTTGGATGGTCAACAGATGTCAGCCCAATTTGTTGGATTCCAGGGGCCACAGAACAGCTTTTAGCCTAAGCCAGACCGCTTGTGGCAGCCATCAACGGTGGCGTACGGTGACATGGAATTGGATGAACATCCTAAGATCTTCCATTTTGGCGTACATATGGCGCCGTTCTTGGAATGTGAAGCTATAAACTTGACCCATATAAAAATCCCCATTGTTGCTGTTAGACCATGATAAATCCCTATTGCAGGTGATTGATTTTGTTTCTGAACCTATTTTTTTGGTGGTTCGAATCCACCTCTTTCCTATACGTACATATATATATATAGGATATGATATGATATGACATGACATGACATGATATGATATGATATGATACAATATATATATATATATATTATGTATATACTGTATATACATGATATATGTATATGACATATTATGTATATACATGATATATGTCTATGACATATATATATACATATATAACACGTATATTCTGATATATTTATATTTATATATATGGTATATACATGCACATGCATCCTATTTTCAACCATCAAATCTCCGATCCCGCCATGGCGCCAGATGTTAGCCTCGGACCTACAATTGGACTTCTGCATCTCCAGCCTCCCCCGACGCAACCGCTGAGCCGCTGAGGCTCCGGTGACTGGAAGCCATGGCCCATAGAGACAGATGATTTTCCCAGCTAGAAACCTCCATTTATTTTGGGGATTTTCCCATAGCTATGTTAAATCACCAGATGGTATATTTAAATGCTGTTCAATATATTTTATATCATTTCCGCCAAGTTGTTAAAACATGTTAACACGGTCATTATTGGTTTAAAAACACGCTGCTGTTTTTTTTCCCCTTTAATTTAATGGGTTGGTTTGCGGTTGGGACTTTTTTGACAGGAAACCACTGTTTTTACCATGAAATATTGGGGTGCACTCCCAGAACTGGGACAGAAACCTCTGCTTTCCTATAGAATTTACCTTTAAGCAATGCTGGTTTTAACCAGCATTCAGGGAGTCAGTGAAAATAGTTGAGTCAGCCGCTGATGTTTTTGGGTGGTGGTTAGTTTTTTTGATGTTTTCGCAATCAACTACGGGGATTCATCCAACAGCGGTTATACTGTTAGATAGTCAGACCTGGGTTTCACCGAAGGGCAAGCACTGAAGATCGGGAGACACACCATCCACCGCAAAAAGATCGGGAGACACATTTTAAACATGGGAGTTTGATCTTACGGCTGGCTGGTACATGGATGTATGATGATGTATGTACCATGCTTGACGTATGCAGGTTTTGTTTGAGATATTTACTAGGTATTTATGCATTTGCATCCCAACTCAACTGGTTTCAGATTATTCTTTCAATAAGACAATATTGGCGCGAAGCCGACCCCCCAGATATATCTAGATGATGGCAGATGAAGCCATCTGGTGAACCCAATGATAAAGACTAAGACGACGTTTTTTTTTTGAAAGATTCATCAGAGCAGTCAATTTAGATTTGAATGAATATGGGTATGGATCAATACCTATTAATAGCATTTTTAGGGGGATGAACATGCATTTACCAGCTATTTTGATGTTCACCAGGGGTACAAGGTTTTGACACACTGCCATATGTGTTTATAGCACCCCCCAAATAGATAGAAAAGTCATGTACTGTATCACTATTTTAGTAGGATTTTACTTATCTATCTTTTTGGGGATGACGAAAAACTGTGGCTGTTTTTTGAGGTTTTTGTTTCATAATTAGATACCTTTTTTTGGATCTGCCAACGTGGACATTACCCTCTGGTTATTTAACATAGCCATGGAAAGACCCTTCATTTTTAATAGGTAAACCGAGGTAAACCATCTATAAATGGGCCATTTTCCATGGCTATGTTAGTCATAACCAGATGGTTTACCCTTCGATAATGAAACATGGCAGCGTGATGACCGGAGGTAAATTTGGGGATAATTTGGAGATACCCGGCCTGGTAAACGTTTACATAACTATGGAAAACCCACCCATTTTATAGCTGGGTAAATCCACTATTTCTATGGCCATTTTCAATAGCAAACTGTTAGTTTACAAGAGGGTACTATGAAACATAACTAGTTATCCCCAATAATGAGATGTATGAGATGTATCTCCAAATTATCTCCGTCTTTTCATGGTGATACTACCACAATAATGAAACATATGGTGATAAGTGATAACAACAATCAACATTATCAACAGACATCAGACAATATGCATATGATCCCCATGTTTTATGGTATCTCCAACAAACATTATCAAGTTGATGCGGAGCCAACAAAACCTCCATCGATGCACAGGTTGGTTTCCGCCATCCCCTTTGGACGGCCGGTATTTTCGATGTTGGAAGATGCGAAAATGGCGCTGTGTTGCGGCACTGAAAACGTGGGAAAACCATGGGACCACCATGGGAAAACCATGGGAAAACGTGGGAAAACCATGGGAAAACATGGATTTTTGTGTTTTTATTATTCAACATGTGGATTCAAAGAATATTCACATAAGTATTTCACCAACAAGACTGGGGACTTACTGGTATCTTGAATGTCAAATGGTGAGAATGTATCAAACTAAAATGCCGCCAATGGAACCGAGACTGGCTCAGCCTGGAAATGGAAACGGGGACTCTATCCACGCTGCAGGATATATTTAAAACTATTGAACTAACCAATCTGTGGGGAAAGTTGCAACGGTTGAACATGGGCCAAGCCTGCGCCTGCGCAAGAAAAAGATGCTCGCCCGATGAACCCCAAGGGCTTGGTTCATAGCAGCCAACTGATGGTTGAATCGTAATTGTCTCCACATGATCCCCCCACACCCTCCGGTACCCTCTGGTAAACTAACAGTTTGCTATTGAAAATGGCCATTTATAGTGGATTTTCCCATTGAAAATGGTGGTTTTCCATAGTTATGTTAGTTTCCGCTCCGGTAATGAAACATGGCAATGGACAATTCCCCATTTATAGATGATCGAAATCGATTATGGCCCAGCCACGTTTGATTACTGGAGGGTGAATCCCCAATTAATACTTGACACCCTCTGGTAAACTAATATAGCAATGGAAAATCACAATCTTTAATAGGTAAGTCAACTATAAATGGGCTATTTTCAATAGCAAACTGCAACAAATTGCCACATTTTTTCTGCATGGATTAACCATAGATCAGATTATCCATATATTAACCATATATTAACCATATATTAACCATAGATTAACCATTAACCATAGATTAACCATAGATTATCCATAGATTCCATAGATTAACCAGAGATTAACCATATATTAACCATAGATTAACCAGAGATTAACCATGACCAGAGGGCAATGCTCCAGGTACGCCCCTGCCATGGCTCTGGGGACAATCAACAAGCGTGGCTTTTGGTCCTCGGACACGTGAGGAAACCAAAAGCTTCGGTTGCTGGTCGGTGAATGGGCGATGTGTCTTAGTCATTTCATGTCAATCCTACGGAGGAATGATATATATATATATGTATGTATATATATATATATGTATACTGTATACATGTATATATATATATATATCACATATATATATATATATCACATATATATATATTGATGTAGTACATTACACTTTCACGTGCATATACACACATTGTATATATATAAATACGGCAGGGGCCAGAGGTTTTGCAAAATATACTGGTATATACAAGAATCATAATACATAGATTATATAGAATATAGAATATAGACTATATATATAGATAGACTATAGAATATAGAAGATAGAAGATAGAATATAGAATAGATAAACAAATAGTAAAGTAAACAATTTCCTGAGTGGGAAGAATGTTATGTAACTCAGCACAGATTCTCGAGGTTGCGGAGAAGACCATGCCCGTGTTCCATGATACAAAGGGGGGAGGGGGTCGAATTTCTGCAATAGAAAATTGGGATGCACGTGAATTTCCAGTATCTAGTACCCTCTGGTAAACTAACAGTTTGCTATTGAAAGTTGCCCAGTCGAAATAGTGGATTTACCCATTCGAAATTGTGGTTTTTCATAGTTCCGTGGCTGTTTACCAGAGGGTTTTTCCACCAGAAAGACATCGAGGTGCTACCCGACCAGACAGATGGAGCCCTGTTCTACAGCGAGCAAGTATGTGGAGGATGCCTGGGGGGGTTGATCTTGGGCTTGGAGGCACCACATTTTACCACTCATTGTTGACTATTACTGGTTGGTGGTTGGACCATGAATTTTATTTTTCCATATATTGGGAATAATAATCCCAACTGACTATTATTTTTCAGAGGGGTGGCTCAACCACCAACCAGATTATTTATATAGTCGACTATTGGGAATAATATTTGTGACTGGCTTTACCACAGAAAAAGGATTGAACAGCAACTTCACTTCTGAACGGGGTCGCAAATTCAGTGACCCGCACTTAGGATTTTTGTGCAATCCTAAAAATCGCCCTAGGGCGTTGCGCTACAACACATGCCACGTATAAGAAACCATCTCGAAATCAGAAATTGCGGGTTTATTTCTTTTTTTCTTTGCCACAGTCATGATGTTACCCGTTTTCGATGATGATGTTGCCCATGTTGCAGTGGGAATCTCATCCCGCCATGCAGTTGATCTTCGACAACCCCATCAAGCTGGTCATGTTGAAGATGACCATGGGTGCGGCCGATCATCCGCAGGTCGTACGAACGGTGGCGTTGGGGAAGTGCTTCTGGCTTCCAAAACAATTTTTTGGGAAGTTTCCATAGTGGGGATAGCCCAATAGCATAAAAAATAGCTGTATGGTTTACACTGGAGAATCCTATTAAAATGATGTAAAATGGATAATTTGGGGGTCCCGTTTTAGGAAACCTCCATCATCATGGCAGATTCAACCAACCCTCCCGCATAGACGACCCCCGAAGATTTCTGGCTTATTCAAGGGCTTATTAACCGCCAAAGACCACCAAGAAGGGCTTATTGAAAGGGCCTGGTTGAATCCACATAACTCAAGAAAATCCAATTAGCAATGGACAGATGTTGGCGGTTTATGTTTGTTTTCTGAGATTCCAAACAAAACTGGGAGAGAGGTTGGGGATATGGCGGGATCCCATTCTATGGCGCTCCGAAGAGCTGGAAATCCACTGTGAGGTGGAACATACCATCCCCCAACTCAGATAGACCCCACTTTTCCTGCTTGGTGGCTTCAATGATCATGGTTTTTCTCAACCCATTGATAAGAGACCATGAACCCACTTGACTTTCATATTTTCGGCGGTGGCTGAAGCACCAAACAGTTACCATCTGGTTATTTAACATAGCCATGGAAAATCACCATTTTAATAGGTAAACCATCCATAAATGGGCCATTTCCCATGGCAAACTGTTAAATAACCAGATGGTAATCATAGCCCATCATTATCAACATGACAAAAGATCCATAAATCCTGACCATGGCATTTATCCCAGAATTGCTTCGAGGCAAAATCTGCTGGACACCCCTAGTTTAATCGTAAAAACCACATGATTTCCGGTTGAACTTTTACCTCAACCATCCTTAACCCAATCCAGATATTTTCGCGAAATCTCCCAGTTTGATATAGTTTGATGGTTGAAACCACATTTTTTCTGTGGTAAAA